CAATAGTAGTCAGCTGTAGAAGAGGACCTTGGACTTTGATTCTGGATCAGCTGGTCAGCATTGTTGCAATAATTCTTGTTTGAATATAAGAGAGGGGGACATATGGAGTTGAGAAGTTGAGCGAAGGAGAAGTGCTTTGACATTGGTTCTTTGCTGGTGTACTTCATCTTCTTCCTTCTTACTACTACTTCTTCTTCTTCTTATCCTCTCAATCCTCTCAAGTTCATTCATTTCTTTTGCAATTGGGCAGCATTGTGCTTTATTGGTGAATTTGTACTTCGCAATTGGTCCGGGTCATAACACTGTGCAAGAAACAAACGAGACAAGGGAAGGAAAAAAAAAAAAAAAAACATTTCAAACACCGCAAGAGATTACAACCAATTGAGGACAAAAGGTGAGCGTTGGACAAGGGGGAAAAAAAAAAAAAAAAATTCAAACACTGCAAGAGATTACAACTAACTGAGGACAAAAGGTGAGCGTTGTGATCATACCTGTCATCAATGAGGGTGATGCAGACATCTTTCACATCAATATGTGCTGCGAATGCACAAGGAATAAACCCCCCTTCACTGGAGACAGCCTCTGGTTGCTTAGAGGCATCTGGAATAGGATGTCTCTGACGATCCCTGAATCTCATCAGCACTATGCCTAGTGCCGAGCTCAGAACTGAAACATGCTGTGGAAAGTTGAGCGATAGGATGCCATCCGCCCCATTCCCCACCCATCAGCACATGCTCCCAATTGTTAGCAGTTGCAACACTGGAGGATGACCTACAAATAGACAACGAGTATGATACCAAGGAGCCTGTTCTCATTGGAAGGATCCACAGGGCACAGTTGATTGTGACTGCCCAGATCTTCTATTCGTTTTTATAGGACCTATATTTGCCAGCCTACAATTGGCTGTGACTTCCAAAACTTCATATAGACCAAATGTGCAAAAAGGTTGAAAGGACCTGGGAAAAAGTGAAAATGTCAATACCAGTATGTTCGTTTGCAAGTGTACAAAGCATGTCCCACGCTGGTATACACATTTGCAGTATACAATCAAAATTATGACCAGATCACTCTTTGCTCTTCACCGCTCGGGCAAGCATAAACAGTAACTTGCAACTAGAGCATGACAAAGAAAGGAACTTACCAGATCATCATCAACCACACGATCGTGAAGCAGAGCAGCCACATCCTTCCCAATCACCCAGAGACCAAGACACCAGTTCATTTGCACATGTCTAGGCCGACAGCCAAAGCACTGGGCTATTTGTTTTCCTGCAGTCAAGTTTAGAGAATCTATCCAGCAACTGAGGGAGTTGGTGGGATGCTTACGCCGATGGTTAGTGCTAACTCGCTGTGCTAGCGCTCGCGCCGAAGCGACATCGAAATTCCCCAGACGTCCGTGGGCGGGCGCTACCCGGGCGGCAGGCCATTCTCTCTCCAATCCGGGACAGCAGGAACAGTACAGGCGCCTTTGCCGTGCACTGTATCGCTGGGTGTGAAAGCGCCAGGCGTGACGAACTTGAACTTTCAAATTCCTGAGCCGCAATTGAACAGTGACAGGGAAGATCCATAGCTTACGCAGGCGTGGATGAATTGAGCGGGATAGAGAAGAGGGAAGAAGGGGGGAGACATGAGAAAGAGGGATCAGGAAATGAAAGGACAAGTATAATCATGGTGTAGAAGAGAAGGAAATGAAGGGGTGAAGTGAGTAAACCTAGGGAGAAAATACTATTTCGAAGAAAATTGCAAGCGAAAGAGAAGGTGAAGACAGTGGGGACAACTTCCGACTCAATGGATGACATCATTTGAAGCACCTGGGACAGCAGGGAGACGCACAGTAACAAGGGCGGGGTGGTCCGACATCTTAATTTGTCTCGTCTATCTGGTAAGTTCCCGTCTCCCAGCCCGCAACCCCGCAACAGAAAAGCAGCGGACCAGTGAGGAGGGAACGAGAAAGTAGAAGGCGGTCAGAAGAGACACAAGCAAGGTCCAACAAGAGACAACGACAAAGGACGACAGATACAAGGGATCGGAAAAATCCAATAGAGGACAGGTAAGGGACTTTCGATGCTTGTGGAGAGAGCTAGAGACCGTGGTAGGAAGGGGGGAACCTAGGGACAACCACGCAGCCACTGATAGGAAGTCAACGATACGGGATAAAAGCGACAGGAGAGGAGAGTCCGATTACATCCATTAGGAAGGGATACTCAAGTAGACAAAATGGAGGAAGTGGAACGGAAGGGATCAATGGGACATGGGAAGGGAAAGAAGACAAAACGAGAAGCAAAATAGTAAAGGGGTGTCGATTGCCCTCCAAGGGGAGGTAGGCTGTTTAGGGTTTCGAGTCTTGGTTTGATTTTTTCTGTTAGGAATCTTAGGATTATGCTACATGGGCAGGAGGTCAATCCTTCCCTTGCGCAGGGAGGTAATCAATGGCTCTACTCATTCTGGTGATATGGTAGATATGGTGGAAAGGGATTTTCCCGTCGTGCATATATATTGCTATACGAATACATACAGATTGTATTGGATGTACGGTGCACACTAGGACATCTCCACAATTTACTGTATAGGGATGCTGGACGCGATTTCCAGCTCATACACATAACATCATTGTCAAGGGACGCTGGACCCGATTTCCAGCAGGTGCAGCTTCCCACCAATAGATCGAGCCTTCGACGATGGTGCCTACTTAACGGGGCTGCTCTTATCACCTCGTTAAGTAGGTTTTCCCACATACGAAGTTAAACAAAAAAAAATAAAAAAATAAAATAAAAAATTAGACAGAGGAAAATAGAGGTAGGCTTAGGGTTTATCATGTTGGGACACTTCGCAGGGGTGTCAGATCTTTCATTTCAATTCAGCTATTTCATTTCTTAAGTGCAACCTGGGGGTAGGATTGTCAGTTCTCTCGGCTCCTAAAGTGCAACCTAGGGGCAGGTTGGAAGGTTCTTTCCTTTATTGCTATTCGCCATTTGTTAATACACTTTTGTCTTTCTTCAGGAATAGCATGAGTTTGACAGGAGAATCTTCAGGAATAGCATAGAGTTTGACAGGAGAAAGGGACACAGTACCCCGTTCCCAGTATGAGCCTAATCTGGGTAATAGCCCCAGTCTTCCGGGTTGAGATGAGGAGGGATTCCCGACCTCCTTTTGCTCTACATATAATGAAGCATGCTCTTTGTTAAAAAAAAAAAAAAAGAAGTAAAAAAGTGAAAAACTTAAAAAAAGTAAATCACAATTAGTTATTTATTCTTTACACTCTTGGGTACCAGAAGAGTAATGTGTAAGTCATTTTCCGCCACCTGGACTTCTTCAATAAATCACTGCTACTGCACTTGATATGTACCGCACTGCTTTTACACTAAAGAGTCAGCCCTCATTAAGAGTAGGCATCCAGGCTGCTACAATAAAGCCAGGCTAATCACAAGGGAAACACGGCCCGCAAGCCAACAGATTGCAGTAACTAGAAGCACCCAGGCGTGCAGGCACCACGGCGCTTAGCATCAAGTTGCTGCAGTTCGTAGGTGGCTCGGTCTCATCCACCCAGCTTCGCAGTGAACCAGCCCCGCTAAGAATAGAGCCCATCAAGTAACGAGCCTTCAGCAACCCAGAGCCCTACTACCAACACTGAAACGAGAACATAACAAAAGGGACAGGAAGAGAGAAAGGGACAGAGGAAAGGAAGATGGCAAGGGAAGGACTGGGCATGGAAACACAAAACTGGCTTGGAGACAAAGCGAAGGTAAAAATGATCAAAAGAAAAGAGATTATTGACAAGGAGAATGGAGACTACCCAAAAGACTCTCTACCCTCAGGGTGTCGGGCGGCTGCCTACCAGCCGGATGCTACCTTTTTGCCAAACTAGAAAGAAATTTGGTTGTTGTTTTTTTTTTTTTTTTTTTTTTGCATGTTTTGGTGCATGAATGTGTTTGACTGAGGGGTTTGAGAGAAATTTTGGGGTTCTTGGGCTGCGTACTAACCCATGGATGAGCAGGGGAGGCGACGCGGACGTGGTCGCAAGCAGGGCCGACAGCGGGACCGGAGACATGACCAAAATTGAGTCCAGCCGAGGACTGGGACGGATGAAGCTTCAGAATGAGGACGACCGAGGGTCTCGGGGTTGGGGAGTAGTGATCGGCCTTGACTCATCAGTGATCATGGGGCTTTGGTTGGACAAATGAGGGAAGGGGGCATCTGCAGGGATGAACCATCCTAATGTTATCAGGCTTGGAGGTGTGCGGTCATTTCCAGTCAAGCCTGCGTGAGTTTTCAAGATTTGAGGTAATCAGCTACGACGCCCCACCCGGGTCGGATTAGCGAAAGTGTGCACGCTCCCGGGCTCCTTGACAACTGATCACAGGAGGGGGCGCACGTCTCTTCTACCAAGGAGGTAGTTGCGCAGCCAATAGCGGGCGAGCGAAAGCGGTTGTGGTGGCAAGATTGGAAGTGGGCACGAGCAGCGACTAACTGCGAGCAAAAGGAAATGCAAGGGGGGGGGTGTCCAATGAGGGGGAGATCGGGAAGGGTGACGCGCGGCCAGACAGATAGAATTAACCGCGCACCACAACCGCTTTCGATTCCTAAGAATAGTCGATCCCAGAAGGGGGAGAAGGCTATGGCAAAAATCGGCGGTAAGGCAAGACCAGTATGATGGGCCGAATAGAGGTCCGAGCTAACGAAGCTCGTGTACCAGGTGATGCCTGATACCAAGGAGCGGGGAGAGGGGCGAAGCGACTTAACTCGTCAGCGAAAGAGTACAGTTGGATTCTTGGAATGATCCCTGCAACCGTTCTAATGGAAGAAGAGCGGGAAGAACCATGGCCCGACGGAACGGAAGCCGAACAGACGGAAAGGCGGGAGCGAAGAAGAAAGCGGGAGAGGGAAAAGTTGAGGACTGCGAGGCAGGGATGGTAAAGGCGGGAAGCTGAAAAAATTCAGAATTTTGAATTCTGGTAGCTCGGGAAGACAGGGCCAAAAGAGAGAGCGGGAGAGGACAAAATCGGGGGAGACAGCGAGAGGGGGAGTGACTTCGATCCTAGGAGTTAGTGAAAGGAAGGCTGCGATTGGGAGAAGAGAACCAGGGCAGAGAGGAAAGGTAAGGGCGGGAAGTTTAAAAAATTGGTGGCTCAAAAGGTGGAGGCGGAATCCTGGTAAGAAGGGGAAGGAGAAAGAGTATAAAAGAAAGAAGGAGAGAAAGGGGGGGAGAAAGAGTATAAAAGAAAGAAGGAGAGAAAGGGGGGGGGGGGAAACGCACGTATGAACTAGCGTCCGGTGGACGTAGCGAACGGCGTAGCGCTGTGCTCGTCAGCATGAGAGTGAACGAGAGAGAGGAACAGGGAGAAAGAGAGATAGGGCGCACCTTGTCAAAGAGAGAGGGAGAGAGAGAGGGAGAGAGAGAGGGAGAGAGAGAGGAACAGAGAGGGATAGGAACAGGTGGAAGGACAGTGAGCGCGCACGTCGTCAGAGAGAGAGCGAGAGAGAGAGGAAGGGAGAGTGATCGGAACAGGGGGAAGGAGAGTGAGGGCACACGTCGTCAGAGAGAGCGAGAGAGAGAGGAAGGGAGAGTGATCGGAACAGGGGGAAGGAGAGGGAGGGCACACGTCGTCAGAGAGAGCGAGAGAGAGAGGAAGGGAGAGTGATAGGAACAGGGGGAAGGAGAGAGAGGGAACGCTTCGT